ATTTCCAGATTGCCATTTGTGCCTTGGGTGCCATGGATATGTGTGTGCGTGTGGGTGGCTGTGTGTAGGTGTAGGTGTATGTGTAAGCAGCAATTTCCTTCGCCAGACTCTTTGCATGTGTGTGTGTGGGTGTGTAATGTTTAATGTGTTCGTGTGATGGCTCTGTATGCGCTTCATTTTTGCTCGAATGAAAATTGTTGCTAAACTCACTTTGGCTGTCGTAATTTCATAAATTGCGTAATTGCATTTAGAAAAGAAGCAACGGGAAAGTTGAAGGCTGCACTGAGACAAAGTGCGGTTGCTTTGTGCCGTGCTGGTTATTGCAATTAGTAGTTTAGTTTAAACTAAGCGCCTGGCACATAATATACGTAACATAAGAGCAGCATACAAAGCACAAAGCTGCCATGTAACAGCCTTCAGGCGCACAAGCTTCTTCGTTTACAATGCAGGATGTCAATAGAGTTTAATTGAAATAGAAAATAGAAAGTAGCTTACACATCCATCCTTACAGATCCTTTCTCCTCACTTCTCAGCTTCTCGGCCATTGTAGGGAAAGTCAGACCACAATTAGGGCTCGGCCAACCGCGTCGAAAGTGGCTTTCGTTGTTCGTTGTTCGTTGCTGGTTGTTTGTTGGCCCAATGTTCTCATGCTCACATCGAACACACTGGCTGCACTGGCTATTTGCTGCACTTGCACTTGGGTGAGTTATCACCGATGCCGTATGCAAACGGTTCAGGAGTTCCGACTACGTGGTCATCGGGCCACGTGCCAATCCAATATCCAATATCCCCGGCACATTGGCTGCGGCTGCGACTGCGACTGCCGGTGCGGCTAGCCCCGGCACGCTCTCAATCCGAAGTGAAAAATCACCTCTCGGGGGAAAACAATTGGGGTCCTTGTGCCGGGAGCAGGTCCTCCGAAATGGCAGGGAGAGGAGCGCTTACGTAAGTGGCAAGTACGGGTCGTAAATCGTGGCAAATCAGGTCCTCGCACCACCTAGACAAGTAAATTGATCAGAAATCGCGCTGAGAAAATTGCTTTAAAATGTGCAAGGGCAGCCGTTTTCGCCAAGTTCCCCAAATTCGGGGGGAAGATACTCGGCACTCAAGATAAAGTGGGGAAATCTCGGAGCAGTTGAGGAACGGAAAAAGGTCGAATAAAATACCAATTAAATTGATTTGAAACTCAACGTTTTTTTGGATATACGTACACGGGGGTCATTAAAGAGCTATAGGAAAGTGTATTCCTGTTGATTGATTGACGGATTGATTGGCTACGGGGAGAGGAGCAGCGGGGAGGGCCCAATTCATTAGCATAAATTACCCGCACAAACCGAATTGCGCACAGAATAACCAGCGAAGTTTAAATGCCCTTTGAATTGACATTGTATTTAGTGGGGTATATAATATTTATGAGGACTGTACTCTGCATTCAATATTTGTAGTAATATGTTAGGCAGCAGGGATGCAAGGGACACCTTGAGCTGGCCAACTGCTAAGCAAAATGATCCGCGTTAAAGGACGCGAGAGTACAAACCGGAGCAAGGAACGAGGAATGGATGTAAGTGATTGGGAAGGGACATCCTGTTGCACTTGGCCCACTTGATTGATGACGCTGGCACTTGAGTGCACACGATAATCATTTATAAGGCGCATAAATGTTCCCTTCCTCGAAGGGGAGAGCTGAAAAAGTTGCGGAGGGAGAGTCTGGGGATGTCTGGGGATATCTGGGGATGTCTGGGGGTGGTTGCCTCGCCTCGGGCAGAAGGCGTCTGCTGCAGAAGGAGCCAGCCAAGGATGAAGGAGTACTCGTATCAGATTCAAATTCACCCGCCAGATACGCCGGGGTCGTTGGTTCTTCGGGAGGTGTTTTGGGGTTCGTCACGTCAGCTGCAGACTCTGCCAGCCACTGCACGAAATTTGCATTCGAACCAAGCCGAGAGATGCCTTGGTCCTGGCCAATCCTGCTTGTGACAGATTCCCAGCTGGCGACACATCTTCGGCGAGGATGAGAAATGGCTCCCAATCGACCCTCCTCCTTTGAGGGCCCGAGATTAATTATCTTCCTCCCCGCGGTCGGCAACTCCAACTTCCGTTTAATTGCCCAAGTTGAAGCCAAGTTTGTCATCTCAAGGAATCTCGCAATAAGTCACGGCGGGGAGCCACGTTGCGTGAACATATGGCCACGTTCCGAGCTGCGAATCCGCCTTCTTTTCAAACCTCCTTTTTAAACCCTTGCTGAGGGCATTATAACTTCAGTCAGAAAGTAGTACATTCTTGGTAGAAATCACTATATTTTTAGTGGTTTTTCGGTTGTTATAATGCCAATTAGTGACTTACAGCGGAACCAAACACTGTTTTGAGCACCTTATGGCCACAGTTAACGAGCCCAATCACTTTTTGGACGATTTAAAAAAAAAATGATTTTTGGCCAATTTTCGCATTTTTGGTAAGGGGTCGTCATTTTTTGCGAAAAATGGCCAAATTTCAACTTTTTTGGGTGTTTATACCATCGGAATCAGAATTTTATTACGAATTCAACGATGTATGCCACTCCACATTTGGGAGAGTACTTTCTCAGATATTCCAAAAAAACTGGGTTTTTTTGTATCCATTTTTTGTAGTTTTGGGCAAAAAAAACTTTTTCCATTGGTAATTTGTCTGTTATTTGCGCAAGAAACAACTTACAGCCAAAGAAATTATAGTTTTGGAAACTAGAGAAGTCCAACTATCTATTTTACATCGACTGAAATTTAATTGTCATTTAACTGATCCTTTAGTTAGTTGACGAAAACTGCTTTGGAAAAGATTAGTTAAAATTGTCAACTAATCTTTATTTTTGGTCAATTTTCGCATTTTTGGTAAGGGGTGTAACATCGTCATTTTTTGCAAAAAATGGCCAAATTTCAATATTTTAAGGTGAGGATACTTTCCGATTCAGAATTTTATTGCGAATTCATCGGTGTATGACATTCTATATTTAGATAAGAACTCGCCGAGATAGAGACAAAAAACAATGTTTTATTTAATGAGTTTATGCAATTTTTTCCTTATTTCAAATGATTTTTGTGTGTTGTTTGACTTACAGCCGAAAAAATCCTTTTCTCGTTCCAATTAAATCGCTTTGGTGAGCCGCAGAATCTGGGGAGCAGAACACTCCCGAAGAGCTCACACGCTGCTCCCAGTCCTGCTGCTCATTATCCTTTCGCCAGAGCAAACAAAAACTCGCTGATGCTGCAGCTGCCAATTACAGCGACTGCTTTTCTAATTAGATGCACCCACATTTCCCAGTTGCGAGCTCCCTCCCCGCATCCACATACGCGTTTGGTGGAAAAGCGAGGGAAAACGAAAGCGAAAACCCAGCCATGTGCATGAGTCGCAGGCGAGAAGTTGCACTAAATAATTAGCAGTGAGTAATGTGCGATTGATTATCAGCTAAGGATCTCGTTTAGAAATACAGCTCCCAGCTTCAGGTTCGTTGTGAGATTGGTTTTGATGTATAAGTTATTTGGCTTAAGCAAAAGATCATTAAAACATTGAGGGACTCATTAATATAGTATTCCTTAATATATCGCCAGAAAGAGCTGGGCAGTTGGCTCGCTGCTTATCGATGAGCACAATCCACGTACCACTCGAACTTTTATTTTTAGAAATCGCGGGAAATGTAATTGCCTTGGGAAGTGAATGATGTGAATGTTTGTTCGATTGATTCCCCTCCAGTATGAAAATAAAAGTTTATCGGTTGAGCTGCTCAAGTGCAGTTCATTTGAGGCGACATTAGATACAGTGAGTGTGATAGATACAGCAGCACTAGAGGGCACTCGTCATATCCGGCACTTGCTGCCCGTTTCCGCCGCATAGAAATCTCTATCGCCCTCAGAATTTTCCGCTCCGCATCTGAAACTGTGCATGTATCTGAATCTTGGTCAATCGGGGCGGTTGTGCAAGTGACCTTGGTTTGGGGTCCGTGTTCGGTATGTGTGTATGCATGTACGAGTAAATATGATTAAACAATGCACCCGTACACGAACGAGCCATTCCCCCTAAATATGAGTCAATTTCTAAAACTAAATTTGACGTCGGGTCGACGATTTTTTGCTCTGGAAAACAGATATGTATTTATTAATATTTGAGAGATATTTCGTATAAATTTATTAAACATTTATATTTAGGATTCTTATTTCATTTGAATGCTTATGTTTTTCAAAACTCATTTTGTAAGGGCATTCAAAACCCACCACATTCATATGAAAGCTATATGAATTCGTTTTGAATTCTCTTCGGTGTGATGGGCGATTTGCATTTTACAATATGAATCAGGCCTTTGCTTTTGGTTTCGGGTGGCTCGCATTTGCATTTTGGTTTAGATTTGTGTGCTTTCAACTTAATCAATTAGCCTGCAGCTCGATAACAGCAACTTAGTTGAGCTATTGCCGCCCAACGGATTTATCAGTGGAAGGAAATAGAAGGCACAGTGGGCAGAAATTTTCAAACTTGTACTACACGGTCAAAATCCAGGGAATGCTACCACTTTGCTTATTCGGTTCGGTATACTCGTATTTTCAGCATGTCCCTGGGCTTGTGAGTCATACTGTAGGGGTTAAAACCCCCAACACCCCCTACGGACATTAGTATAATCTAACAACGCTCACGCACACACACACACATACGAGCCCCACTCAGCTGACTTCATTTGGGCCACAGAGAGGTGGAGTCCACAGTTTGTTTTATATTTGCAGGGGATTCGGTACAAGCAATAATCATCAAGGCCCAAACTCGTATATGTTCACAATTAAACTAGGCAACAATTTTTCTGAACTATAACGTTATTCGATGTTCGTATAGATTGTCAAGGTGATTGGGGCCAGTTTGGACCCCGCCAGCCCACTGTGCAATCTGTTGCTCTCTCTCTGTCTCTCTCTTAAACTCTCTCTGGAGCTCTCGCAATAGCCGTTTATTCGCCGAGTCAGGCGATGGGAGAACGCGCCAAGTGATTTTGAGAAGTTTATTAGTTGCTTTTTCAGTGGCGTTCTGTGCGTGCTGGCGAGCGCGATGTAAATTAGTCACCGGCGCTGTGCTTTCGCTCTTCGCTCGATTCCGAGGCATCGGCTGGATTATCTGATCTGAGGGCTAGTGTAAACAAATCCCCGTATCTGCCACGATGTCGGGCACCCAGGACTACGACCGCAAGTACCTGCGCAGCATGCCGGGCCTCTGCAAGATGGCCTGCCTGGTAATAAGCCGAACAAACGCTTCCCGTCACGCTCTCCCCTCACTCTCTCTCTCTCCCTCTCTTTCCCCGCTCCTCCCGATCAGCTGTGCAGCTTCGTGGGGTTCCTCTGCATCGTCTGCGGACCGGTGCGCGTGAGCAACTTCCGCGGCAGCTTCTACCTGGTGGTGGCCGCCACCGGCTTCCTGGCCACCGCGGCCCTGCTCCTGGCCAGGTTCCTCCGCCTCTGGCAGCGCCAGTTCTGCCGCTGCGACCCGACTCTCTGGTCCCTGGCGGTCCACTCCTGCCTGGCCCTGGCCTACTTCACGGCCTCCGGACTCGTCCTCTCCCTGGACATCGGAGCCTACACGGCGGCGGCGGTGAGTTTTGAGTTGCAAGTTGCCAGATCAGGGAGGCCCAAGGCCCCCTCCACCTGAATCTACAAGTTGCAGATAAATGTTCAGTTCAAGAATGCCACTGTCAGTGTTTTTAGTTCAAAGAGCACGTATAATCATTGTTTTGTGTTTTTAACACTTTTGAAATAGCTAGACTTAGAGGCGGTTCTCGAATGGAAACGATAGCCATGACCATAAAGATTACGTTTTTAGATTGAAGCTAGACTGAAGCCAAGCCGCGAGCAATAACTCAAAATTGGGATGCAAGCCGAGGGTCATGACTTACCTCGTGATTCATCCGTTTAGACCCGTCTAATACCCCGCTTCCCCTCTGCTCTTCCAGTTCTTCGGCCTGACGGCATTCAGCATCAACGGATTGGAGGCCTACGGAAACTACAGGCGGAGTCGCCAGAGGGAGGTGGCCACCCAGACGATATAGACGCCGACTCAGGTGCAAGCCCCGCTTGTTTTGGGGGCTCTTCTGCGCCCAGCTCTCTTCTCAGACGCGTGTGTGTGTGTGTACCTGTGCCTTTGTATCTGAATGAGTGAGAGAACGAGTTTCGGGGAGAGAGTGAGAGCGAGTGGCGTTCGCATTGTGCACTAAAGTCTGCTAAGGCGAATAATGTCGAAGCTTTTGTCGGTCGTACAGTTATTGGATGTGTTATCTAATAATAGTAGCTAGATATAGGTCAATAAGAAGGGAGGGAGATAAAGCCAGTCAGTCGGACGAGGGTCCCGGAGAAGTAACGTAGATATAGCAGAGATAGCAGAGAGCAGGGAGAACCACTAAACAGAGAGAGAATGCCAAAGAGATAATTCTTATTGTGCTGGTCTCCGGGCTCCTCTTCTTCCGATAACTGGTTAACAAAGCGTGAATATATATGTAGACGTATCTGTACGCATTTTTTTTACCTAGACTAAGTTGTATCTGTGTGTCGCAAGTAAACATATTTTATAATAGCTAGCTTGTAAACAAACCCGCAGCGCACTCATTTTTTGTGAGCCCTTTTTGTAAACACCAAATTGTTATGTTTATCAATACACTTTTTTTTAAGGCTAATAAATGGAACTATGCAAAAAAGAAATGTTTATTTAAGTTGCATGTTGATTGAAAGTTGTTCATGCGGAGCCACTGAAGTTGTTAGTTAATTATTCATTTTTAATATCATAAATTCCCACATGGAAACAAGATTGTTAAAGCTAAAGCCTTGCGGCCCAAATGGTGCAGCTTTGCCTCTCTTTGTCAGCCAATACTTTCTGGCGTGCTCTGTCCTGAGGAAGTTCCGTGGTCTCCGCTTTTGGCAACGACATCGCCAGCTTGCACCTGCAAACGGAGTGGGGCTCCCCTGGCCACCTGGCTACATGGCCACCTGGCCACCTGGCCACCTTTGTGCACCTTATCCGCATCGACACTGGGAACAAACAGGCGCCCCTCCGAGCGCTCTTATCTGCCTCTGTTTTTGTTTTCGTTTTGTTTTCTGTGAGCTGTTGCCATTGTTGGCTTTTCAAATCTTTGCCTCCCAACCACCCACCACCCACCACCCACACAAGCCCATAAACACTCACCTTGGCGTCTTCCCCTTCTTGCCTCGACCTCCGCTGCTTTTTCGCCGGGGCAGCCGTCTCATTATTATTACTTTTGTTGCCAGTTTGATGAAGTTCTCGCCCCGATTCGTGCCCATTTCTGGCACGATTTATTCATAGTTCGCAAATTTTCAGCCAAGTACGCTAAACAGTGTAATGAAGCGCGCAATGTATTCATGCGTTTTGAGCCTAACAGCGCCACTAACAAAACAAAGCACTGCGTGCCCTCGGATACACAAGTGTGTGTGCAGTGGGTATCTGCAAGGGGATCCTCCAATCTATCACTCAGGATGCCCGGCACCCCATCTATACTTATTAACCACTGGCACGGAGAGAAATGCACAAGAGATGGTAACATGGAAAACTCGAACTGCATAGTGAGCTATTATATGAAGGTTATCCAATCATTAAACCGACTTTTGTCTCTTCAAGGAGGGAATATAACTTACTGGTAAACCCTTTTGTTCCCGATAAGTAACGCCATTTCTTGCAGTGCCCCTCGCCTTTTCAGCTAAATGGTCATTTAATTATTTCTCCGCCGGCGGTCCTTAGCACTTCCCATACATAATGTGCCATAATTTGCACCCCTCCATCGACCTCCTCGCCCATGCAAGTCACGTAGAGTGAAATTAATTAGTCTTGTTTGCCAGTTAGTCGGAGGACTCCTTTCTGCTTTCTCCTTTCGGGATGGAAGGGCGATGGACCCCTGAGTGATTGAAATGCAATCGTGTGGACCGAGCTCATATTGAATTTGGGGACACTTTGTGGCTCCGCACTTCCTGACGGCTGTGACGGAGTGATTTATGCAGGCGTTCCAAAAGTGTCCTTCTCCCTTATTAACAAAGTGGCATGCCAATTTCGGCAGGTTCATAATTCTTCCTTGGCCAATTAGCTGTAGCTGTCTGCAGACAGGCTGCTGATCTGCGATGGGCCATCATCAATGCATTGATGGCCGGCAAGCGAATAAAGTCCTCAAGGGCCGTAATAACCACAGCGCCTGATGATAACTTTTGGCCCGAATATAATTCGCGATTGGGCGGGGGAAAAGGTGGCCTGGCCGTCCTTAATCAATGAAATCATTTTCAAATCAAACGCGCATTTAATCAAAGTCAGGCCGCCGTTCCTCGCGCAATTTATCTGGCTTGGACCGACACTGAGAGAAACTTGAAGGAGGATTGTTGGCCAACACATTTTAAATTGGGCATTTCTTAGCTTGAAACTGTTTCCCTTGTTTTGTAGAGTTCGGTGTTTGGTGGCATTTCTTGCAGTCCACTCCGTTGCGGAGGCCAAATGACGCGTTGAAATGTAGGTCCTGCGCCACTGGTGCCCTTTGACCCCCTCCCTCAACCTCCTCGTCCAGGCAGCCCCTCCTGACCACAGCTATTCGGGGGTCGGGATGCTAATGCGGCCTAAACAAATGATGGCACGAAGGCACCTCCGCCACTTTCTTCTTTCTCATTGCCGCCTCCATCTTTCATCGGTTGTTCCCGTTTTTCTGCTTTCTGTTTTCTGTTTGCTGTTTGCTGTTTTCCGCTTTTCGTTCTTCGGCCTGCTTTTAATTTTCGGCATCCGCATTTATCCTGGGGCTCCTGTAATTGCCGCCCTCCCTTTGGCCTTGACCTCCCCCTTAGAAGTTGGTTCCGAAGGCAGAACAATACAATGAGACGCCTGTTCTGGTTACATTCGGAGTGAAATTAATCTATTAAAATTACTGAGCACGCCTTGGGGCGTGGGAAATTCATTTGAAGATTCTTTGGCAGTTTCCAGGAGCAGAACCTAATCCTTCAAAAAAGAAGACAGCTCAAATATTTGAAGCATAAAAAAAAGAAGTTGTACCTCATCTAACTGGCACTGAAGGTCTAGAAATCAAATTCGACGGTTCAAATATTTAAGCAAAATAAAAAGTTGTATCTCATCTAATTGGCACTGAAGGTCTAGAAATCAAATTCGACGACCAATCAGCTTCCTTCAGAGATTTCTTTTAATCTCTCCTTTCGTAATTTTTGGCACGCTCATTTGTCAGGGTGTTGAACAAATAGCGCGTGGCGAACGGAGTAAATATATTTATATGATAGTGGGCAGACTCGAACCCGAGTCCACATTCCCTATAGAAGGGGAAAACGCTTAGCACACTGAGCTATTTCCAATCTCAAGATATTGTGAGGTATACTGCTCCTCCTACTTTACCGACGTCGTTTCTAGGCACTGCTTTATCCTTAACCTGAGATGTAGAGGTCTCTGGTTTCTGGACGTACAGCTTGCTTACACAAACATGTAGAAAAATACATTATTGAATGTCTACGCGAGTCATAAATTCCGTTAAAATCTTTCACTCGACATGTTCACTCTACACTGTATAACATTAGACGTTCTACTTACGCTATACATTCTACCAATGTTATACATTCTACTTATGTTATACATTCTACCAATGTTACGCATTCTACCAGTTTCATACATTCTACCCATGTTATGCATTACACGGGTGTTATACATTCTACACGCATCTTACATTACACTTCACTTTCAAGTAAATCTGTTAATCCTCCAAGCAAAACTCTCCCTATTATTTGTATCTATTCTTATCTTTATTTCAGCCATCGCTGTTGGCCTGTCTTAAACTTTCGTTGGTGCCCAAAAGTTGAACTCATATGAAAAAAAAACTGAGTGGATGGAGAGATTTTGAAAAAATATTACGATTCGTGTCTTACAGCTAAGAGCAGCTTGCGCCGCCGTTTAAAATACTTGGTTACAGATCCTACGCTAAATCCGCGAGTGGGGCTCCTTAGGTCTATTAAAAAAAAGGTTATCTTGTTTTGGTTTCGCTGCTCCTTGGCTTCGTAGCACTTGCTTTGTGGTGTGGGGATTGGTAAGGGGGAGGGGGAGGCGGAGGGGGAGTGGCTTAGACCTCGTCGCAGCTTTTCAACGATGCCCCGTTGGCCGTCAGCTCCCTCTTGACACTGGCCTGCGGATCGGAGCTCGGATGGGAGGGGAATCCCAGGGGCAGCGACTGCGGCAGGTTGTTGTTGTGCTCCTCGCTGAGCTTGAGCATATCACTGGAGAGAGTGGAGTCCTGCACCTGCACGTGTCCCTGGGCGAATCGCCGGAAGAGTCCTCCGTTGTTCAGCAGCCGCGCCTGGTGCTCCTGCGCCTTCGCCCGCAGGCAGGCGATCGAGTTGTTCCTGCAGCAGGACACATAATTCAGGTTCACATTCACTCAGACATTTAAATTCACTCTCGTTGGGAACCAGAGACTCACCTGAAGGCGTCGGGATCGTGCTCCATGAGCGCCGCTGCCAAGTGGTGGGCATGCAGCCCGGGTGTTGCACTCGCCACCTGCGACTGTTGCTGCTGCTGTTGCTGCTGCTGCTGCTGCTGCTGGTGTTGCTGCTGGGCGGCAACTGCTGCTGCTGCCACGGCGGTGTTCATGATCAGGTGGAAGTCCTTGCTGGAGGCTGCTGCTCCTGCGCCGGCGGCATTGGCGGCGTCCAGCAGCGGGTGGTAGCTGGGCGCCACTCCGCCGCCACTCCCCCGCCCATGTAGAGCGGCACCTGTTGCTGCTGCTGCTGCTGCTGCTGATGTTGCTGCTGCTGATGTTGCTGCTGCTGGTGTTGCTGCTGCTGCTGATGTTGCAGCTGATGTTGCAACTGTTGCGGGGAGGGGGAACCCAGTTCGATGTGCGGACTGCCCGAGCTGTTGGTGGTGGTGCCGGTGGGCGTGGTCGCCGCCGAGGAGGCCGCCCCCGCGTAGCCGCTCGTCGAGGTGGGCGGGGCCGTGGAGGCGGAGGTGGCGCTGGGCGCCGGACTCACCACGTTCAGCGACTCGGTGGAGGAGCTCAGAGCGCGGCCGCGGGAGCGGGAGAGGGAGAGCGAGAGGGAGCGCGAGTGGGAGCGGGAGAGCTCCTCCGAGTGGCCGGACTTGGAGCCCGCCGAGTCCTCGTGGTCGCTCACCGAGTCGTCCTTCAGGGCGGACTGCGCCTCGATCGATTTGCGGTGCATGCCTGTAAATAAGTGAATAAAAAGATAAATAGATAAATGGGTAATGGATAACTGGGGATTTAATAATTAAGATCGGGAAGGAATCAAGTTGGGATTTATGCAATTTAAATTTCATTATAAATAATTGATAGATATGGAGTGCGGTATGTGTGTTGGTTTGAAACCATAAACAAATAATAATAATAAAGAGCAGAGCAAATGGCGTGACCAAATTAAGGATTTAATACTAATTTCGGAGCCATCACTGCCTCCCCATCAATTGCCCCTGCAATTCGACATATCGACTTAATTAAAGGCGAACTATTCCCCCGGCGAAGGAGCCGCTAAGTCCTCGATAAGCCACTTAAGTTCGAGCAAACCTTCGGCCACGGCTACTTGGCTGCGAATGCTTGGGAATTAATTATCGAGTCAGTTGGCTCGTAAAATCCGACAAAGCACCCAAACCCAAACCCAAACCGAAACCAGTTGACACCACCGAGGGAAGTGCCACTGCCACAATGGGAATAGATAAGCGATAAATGCCACACATAAAACGGGAATTCAGTGGCCGACCCTCGCCCTTCGCAATTCGTAATTCGTCCTTCGTCCTTGTCGCGTGTGCATTTTGCATTTATTAAGCGATTATTAACGAATAAAGGAGCGCAGCCACCCCAAACCAGCCGCGGCACCACCAGTGCCACTTGTCCCGGCAACTCCCCCCCGATAATCCGCAAAGTCATTCCCGGGAAATGTGCGCAACATATGACGGCGACGGCGACGGCAGGCGGAAAAGCGCGGTTCGACATGCTCGCCAAATATGCTCACAATTCCCGAACCGGAGAACCAGAGATATGTCCGCTATCTCTTTATAATCCCCGGGCCGATGTCCTTTGTGCGGCTCGAAATTTAATTAAAGCGTCCTTAAGGCTCGCCGATATGTGTGTGCTATTGGGAAGTTGTCGGTTTAACAGCTGTCTTAAAAAGAGAGATTTTAAATAAATCAAAGCCGTTGAAAAGGTTCAATTCTCGAGGGTCGCACGTTAATAATATCTATTCGATTGGATCTATTAAAAAACTAAACGGGAGGAGGAGTTGTGAGTTCGAGCTTGAGTACAGGGAGAGTGTTAGTGGGTGCTTATCTGGTTAGATTCGATATGATTGTTGCATTTACATTTCTGCTCCATACCTAGTAGCCAGGGAGCCACCGCGTCGTTGTCCTTGGCCGACTTGAGGATCGTGTCCGGCAGTGGAAGCGAGTGCCGCACCATGGCCCCATACAAGCCGTACTCCGCCATGATCGTGCTGCCGCCCCAGACCTTCTCCGTTTTGCGCCACTTGGCCCGGCGGTTCTGGAACCAGACCTGAAAAATAGGATGATATATAAGGAGATTTAGTAGATGATATTTGCAAGTGCTAGCGAATCCCACTTCCATCGGAAGCACTACTCAAACATCAAACTTCAAGCCCCATTTCCCTCCTCAAATCCCTACAAAGTGCTTTGCCATATGGACGCCGACCTCCTCGGTGGCCAATGGCCACTGCGATCCCTGAAAAATGGTATGCAAATTGCGAATTATTAAGTAAGAGCCCATTCAGATTGGAAAATGTAAATGGGATGTTTTTTAAATGCTAATACTTCGACCATAAGCCGTAAGAAGCCCATGTCCTTCCACTTGAAGTGGAAGCCACGAGGCAGGGGCGTGGCAAGCTCACTTTTCAGCAGGGGTTTCAGACGGGAGTGTTAATCGCTCTTCAAAATGGAAAGGCTCCTCTTTTACATACTAAATAACTTAAATAGTAAATAGCAACCCCCCTCGAAAGGAGCCACTGGTTTTGGGGACGGACAGCCATGGTTAGCGACATCAGACCAGAACCCACTCACTGCTCCGCTCCGCCTGCCACACATAATGGCGAATGATATACATATTCGCATATAAGTGACCAAATTAGATTATCTTCCGAAACATTAAACCGATTCTCTGCCGACAACAACAACGCAACGCAGCGCAACGATAATAGTATGAAAACATTAAATGTTGTTCACAAAGGCAGGCGACCGGCGGGGCAACAACAACTGTCACAATAAAAGGATTTGCCGCACACACAGACACACACTAGCGCACTAGCACACTCACACACCGACGGACGGCCAAAGGATTCAGGCAGAGCCACAGAAACAGCCACATCCACCCCCGGAATCAGGACCCTCGGCGCTGGGAAGAAGTCATCATTTTTCTGGTCCATCAAATCGTTTAGTTCTGCTATTAGTCATGTGCGCCGGGGGGAGGGGCGGCATCAGCAGCAGGGGGGAGGGGAGGGGGTGGGTCAAGGGGTGGGGGTAGACCCCAGCTGAAGTGGCCCTCGGAGGGGAGGTTTATGATAAAAAGAATGAAAATAAAGACCGAATGCGAATGCGAATGCGAATGCGAGTATGCAAAGCAGAAAGCAGAAGTCGGATTCCGGAATTCGGGGGTCGGGATTCAGAGTTCGGAATTCGGGGCAACAGGGGGTTAAGCAGGCTGCCAAAGCCAAATCCAGAGCCAAAGGATGCGAATCGAACGGAGTCCGTGGGCCAAGTGGGCGTGGCACCCCGCCCAGGCGAAACTCCGCCAGGCATCGGAGAAGACAAAGTGGTTTGGCTTCGGGTTCTGTCACCAGTCTCGGTTCTCCGTTGCCTGCGAGGAGCCCCATAAATCTTGCGAATCAACTTGCCTGAAAAATTGGCAGACCCCGATTCCGAGCTCCGACTTCCCAGATAGCCTACTACCACCACTGCCACTTCTATATAGGAAGCACTATGCATATAGTTACCGGGCAGCCACTCAGAGGAGAGCGTCTCGTGCCACCCGGAAGATTTACAACTGGCCGCGGATTTGTTGGCAACTTGCCATTCAGCATTTAAAGCGCCACTTTAAGTTGAGAGCACAATGCGAAAGTTCGAAATAAACACCTCCTCAGGTATAAATACCCACTATTGAACACCCAAGTCCCGGGGCCCTTTACCTGTTCCCCGATTTCCGGGGATTAAGTTCTATATTCCCGATTGGCACTGCGAGGAGGAGCGTGACTCAGCGTGCGACTCGAACGGATTACTCGGGCGTGGAGCTGCAAATAAATCCGTTCCGGGATTACCCTCTGCACTCCGGAACAGTTTGATGCCAAAATTAATTTCCACACACCCGGATGCTTTGCTCCTCCTGGCAAGGAGCCGCCTCCGAATTTGGACCCTGGGACTTGGGGCCTTGGGAACTGGGAAGTGGCAACTAGGAGCTACTAGGCAACTGGCAAATGGCAACTGGGCCTGGATCTTGGGCCCTTTCGGCCCTTTCTGTCTGCAAAATCAAATTAATCCGGTTTGTTATTTCATCATGCAACGTCAACGTCACCGTCATCAGCTGCAACAACAGACAAAGGCTGCTGCAGCAGCAACACCAGCAACACCAGCAGCACCAGCAGCACTTTGCCATAATAAATGGCAACACGGATACAGGCACACTCCGGTGTAAACAATACACACACACACACACACACACACACACACAGATATGGAGGGCCTCTGCCAAAGGAGCGGAAAATTTCATTAACAAGGCACACAGGCAACAGCAGCAGCAGCAACAGCAGCAACATCGCAAGTACAGCAGCAACATGAAGGCACGGCAGCAACACGAACACGAACGTCCGGAGGCCACTGGCTCCTCTGATAATTTAATCAACTCTCATTGAATTATATCATTTTGCAATTTGGAGACCGGCAACATCAACATCAACATCCCGACATCCTATCATCCAGATACAGATCCAGATACAGATACAGATACAGAGATACAGATACAGAGATACAGATGGCGACGCAGATGCGGATCCAATCGTCATTATGATACCGGCGTGGCGACCGGAAAAGCGAGCCGACAATTTCGGTAGGGCTCTTTGAGTGCGGAAATCAAAGAGGGAAATGCCACAAATTTCCAAAACGGAAATTCGCTGCCATGGAAAAGCGGGGGCCTCCGAAAGTGCCCTTGAAAATCAGCAGTGGGAAATTGAAAACTATTTATTCAGGGCATTAATATAGTTGAAACATTTACTAAGTATCAGTTATAATGCTTTGTTATTATTTGTTTTGAAGATGCCCGCAATGATTATTAATTGGTAGGAGGATTCAATTCCCCATTCATGGCTACGTTTATTTGTCACTCAATCAAATCCGAATCGATTAAGATTATCAATCCGTAATCCATTGATGGCAACGCAAAACATCCACCATACAAAATCGGCTGACATCGGGGGTGGCGGGATAATGCCGACCACTTTAATATAGATAACAGCCCGGACAATCTGCCGCTAAATGATTACTTGACCATTCCCGTCTCAACTTCGATTCCAATACGCTGCGAATCACGACATCAATTTGCTGATTGAAAATTTATTATTATCGGCCATCCTCGCAGCGAGTCCAAGGAGTCCAAGGAGTGCAAGGAGTGAAGAGTTCAGAGTTCGGCGTGAGCAGATCGAAGGAGGTTTTATGGGGCGAAGCCGGAGGGGCCACGCCCCTTGTCCGGTTGGTGGAAATGGCTTTTGATTTATCGGGCCATCCGCTGGCTGGCCAAACACAACTGACCGATGATGAGGTCACCACGAGAGGGGATTCCCGGGTTCTCCCTGAGTGGGTTTTCCAAATGGTAGCTGCTCTCCTCTAAACAATCAATTAATCGGCTGCTAAGTTGGATTCTGTATATTACATTTTAAAGTATCATATCATCCTCATATCATCCAAAAGGAGCGAGGGTATCTGTTCCTTCCACACCATCCAGACTTCGGGGTTGCTCAACTCAGCCAGCTCGACCAGTCGAATGCATCCGCACAAAGGTCACAGGCCTTCTGGTCATTTCCGGCATAATTAAAATATTGGTAACCAATCAAGGATTTTCAATGGGTAACCACTCGATTCCCATCAAAGTGGGATTTGCAGTATTGCTGGATTGCAGGATTGCTGGGTTGCAGGACTGTGGATTGGGTGGCGAATATCTGCTCACTGGGGCTGCAAAATTGCGCAAATTGCATATGCAACGGGTCGCAGGACTCGTCGCTCGTCCTTTTCAGGTGACATGTGCACCTGTGCATTCGATTGCGCCCTGCATTCGGGAGGGATTTGCCTTTGAGTTCGTGAGCGGCCTTTATTGGTTTACTTCATCAACTCGAACGACTGAGTGGTTGGGTGGCTTTCGGGTGGTGCGGGTGGTGCGGTGGGTGCTGCCATCCGTTCAATGGTTAAAGGGGGAGGTGACTCCACCCAAGTGGTTGCGAGTCAGTCAGAGCAGCGAGGCGTGCGGAAATTTCATAACGACAGTCCGCAGTTTATATGCAATATTCAATTGACATTCGCGGAATTCGGTTTTCGAACTCCGTCCGAAGGGTATGATAGTTTTCAGAGGAAGTTGGAGAACCACAACAGGATAGGATACTAAATGATAGAGCATACATATAAGAAATGCTTACAGATGATTAGTTATGATTACTCCAACAAATACTGATAATTAAATAGTAGAGTATCCCATTGGGGATATTGCAAACTCGTTGGCAAGAGTATCAGCGAATCCGTTGAAGCCTCCGTCGGCTTTGGCCCCTTTTGTCTTTGCCTCCTCGCCGTCTTTCCCGTTTTCCGCAGGAGCAGGAACTCCAATTTCCAACTTTCATATGAGTTTAACGGCCGCGAACTTTTCTTTTTGTTCCGAGCGGCGAAAGGGGAGGGCAGAATCCGCAGGAGGAGAGGGCGGCGAGCTTTTCAGCTTTCCGGATTAAGAAATGTAAATGCCAAATGATTTTTCGGAGTGTTTTTTGTTCGCAAGTCGAGTATTAATTTACGCAAACGGAACTGAAGGCTTGACTTTGGCTGAGTCGAGGGGTGAAGTCCGAAGGGGGAGGGGAGGGGGGGAGAGGGGGTGGAAAAGCCCGAGGAAAACTGCACATGCGAGTCATATTAATGACCTTTACTTGACATTGAGTCTGCATCGCAATTGCCATTGCCGTTGAACTATTAATTACGGCCAAATGATGTTTTAAATGCCGGGTGATTAATGAACCGATTTTCTCATTACGTTAGAAGATCGAAGGGGTGGAAGGGGGCCGGAAGGGGGCCGGAAGGGGGGCGGAAAGGGGCGGTTTGTGGGTGGTGCAATGCCAAAACGCCACTCGAACAATTACGAAACATTCAGTGGGTGCTCTAAGTGATCCGGGTGGCTCAAACATGTTTTCCGTGGAGTTGTTTGCATCGGGAAAGCCCCACTGATGCAGTTGGCTTATTATTTTCCCGCCATTTGATGGAGGGGGGGGAGTGTTTTCCCAGCCCATAAATCGCAAATCTCAT